CCGTCGGATGTCGTTAGTCGATTGGGACCGATGCCTGTGCCCACCATGTAAGAGAAGGCGGCCAGAGACGATGAGCCATGACTCACGGGCTATAACCCCATATTTTTTGTGCGAGCGCTGCTGCCAGTCGTAGAAATCTCCCTTACGTATATGCCACAGCGTTGGCAGAGATGATATACCAGCGAACCAAGGTCCTGGGTGATATCTGAGTCGTCTCCACGAAAGGATGTCGTCAGAAAGCCAGAGTGTGTAGAACGGTACGGTCAGAAAGGTCCAGTCGCATGCTGTGACCCAGATGATACACAGTGGAAGTACTAGCAGAGGGATTGGAGGATGTGTAGCACTCTCATCCAGAAAGTACCTATTGTACAGAGTCGTGATTGCCATGGATGCTCTCAGGACGACTATAGAAGCTAAAATAACCGGCACAGGAGACCAAACTTAGAGGACAATTAGTCACTATGGACTCAAGCTGGAGGATCGAACGTGCACTTACGATTCGCCCGTCCATAGTTCAAGACCAGACAGGATAATGAGGCCACCATAGTTAGCAACATGTTGTGCGAGTTGTCTCAGATTCTGATTGCCTGACAAGAAGGAAAGTGCGAGGAGATGTAGGACAACTAGAACTCCTATGTACAGCTTGGAGTCGGAGCAAATCCCTCTGACTGCGCTAGCATGGCCTTGGTGGCTACTCACAAATGCACACCTGCCGCAGAAATTCTCTCTCTCCATATTCCCACTGTCCCGAAGAAATGAGAATGATACGTCGTCTGAGAACGCCTGGTAATCAAACCAGCTTGCGAGGCACCCTGGATGACAGCGAAACTGATACGGAATCGACAGCCATCCTTCACTTGAGAATCTATCAGCTTTACACCTGTTTTGTCTGATTATATTGCGGAGAGTTTCCATCAGTATCGACCCAACAGGGATTGCCTTCGGACATGTGGCTGATTGTAAGTTCGATAAATTACGGGGTTGTCTTGAGATGATCAAGAAGAAAGTGCGGGTATTCTTCGCTATTCTTGATTATCTGCTTCGAGAAGCAGGACGCACGTGAACCATCAATCCAAGAATACTTCGCAAGGAACCGTCTCGTGGGTATCACCACAATCACTTTGTCATTTGCTCCGTCAATGACAGCTCCCTGTTGGACGGAAGGTAGCTTGATGGGCAAGCTGGTGGGTCATCCACAATCAGTCTGCCATCGACTGTTACCACCTTGTTTCGGCCGTTCGCCTCCCGTCCTACGAATGGTACAACTAGAGGTAATCTTGCCGGCAGGTGCTCCTGCATCACTGTTGCTGATATCATGACTTTCTGTATCTCCATATGAACGACTACTATGTGCTTGTTGTTGTATGTGTGTACATGCTAGGCGTAGTTACCTTCCAGCTGAGTAACCGAGTCCTGGAAATGTAGGTAATATGACGGCCTCCACTCAGTCGAATCCGCTCCAGGTTCTGTTCGAATGCAGTCGTCTTCTCAGTCGAAAATTCGGAGTTTTTCTGGCTTTTTACTCTCTTCCATGGCAAGACATTTGAAATAGCAAAGACCAGATCATTGTCGCTTTAGGGCACCGATAAAGTTGTCTTGTCTGGTGCCAATCCCACCACCCAGGGAGCCTATGCGTTTGATATGTCTCAGGTGACGAGAGCAGGTTCATTCTATACTCCGGTAGAGCATGTTACCGTCTGTCCAAGACTGTCCTCCATAAGCTGATTCTGGCAAACAAAAGCACGAGACAGAAGACGACCCTCATGCATGTGATCTGGAAGGTCGGACATGTCGAGTGCCACCATCAATGCAGATTCAAACCAAGGGGCATTCGTTTCATCTTCCCAGTCGTGGTACGCCCTGCTGTAACCCAATCGGCGGGATATCTGGATATCTTCGACCACAACCATACAGATTCTACCTCGTGATCTCTTTGTGACATATGCGTATGCAGGACACACACTTTGCGGCCACTGGGATGCGCCTGCCCCACCAATGGTGAGAAAGCTGGATTGTGAGGATCTCGATGACCAGAGATCGCGGATCAGAGCTTCCCCATGCAACAGATGTGTATCTCCAGACACTTGTGAAACCATTTCACTAGGTTGTCCGAAGTTGACAGCAAATACGAGGAACAATAACGTGGCACACAAAAAAGACGATACCCGGCCGACGCCATGTGTCATGGAGAGCTCCTTTCATAGACTTCAAGGAATATGTTCGTGACTCTGTGGTGAAACCTATCCTCATGTTCTCAAGAAAGGACTACGAGAACAATTTCAACAGACTCGAGTTGATCGTCCGTTGAATTAGTGACAAAAACTAGTCGACTCGTTTCTCGACGTATGTGTGACACACTGCCCCCACTACAGAATTCGAGGCTGGGCCTGTTTCCACGCAATTTGAATCAAGATCTTGCCTTTTTCGACTCTCACCTTGACTCAAGCAAATCATCCTGTAGAAGGTGCCTTACTAGTCAGTCGACGAGCAGCAGCCGGCGGACTGGGGATGACTTACTTTAAGGATCTTTTGGGCCGTAGGATATCAGTGTGAGCCAAAACATGAAAAGTCCTTATGATTGAACATGGCCTTTCCGTAGAGCATGGCCCTTTCGTGGAGCATGGCCTTTCCGTACACCGCTCTGGTTGTTTTTCGGTTTGTTGACGACCACGGTACTCGACCGTGGTCTCGGCTTTGCACCAGAGTTGCCGCCAGCTGATCGTTGATTGGGATGCTCTTGCCGTAGCCTTCTGAGAATGTCTCCGAGAGTCTCGTTGGGATTTTGTTCCCCATACCGAGAAGTCGACTGGTTGTTGTTTGGCTCATTAGCCAAGAAAGTATTTGTCGATGTCGGAGTGATGAGAGATCTAGTAGGCTGAATACTAGGAAGCTGCATCGATGTTTGTTGCTCCCCAGTCGTCGTGCCTGTGGAAATTGGCGCCCGCTTTATCGACACAGCGACAACTTGAAAGCTCAGGTTTTCGCTCATGCTGTCAGTTAGGCTTGAGGGCAGGCATGCTGTGCCGAAACAGGAGCTGATCTTGCGATGTAGATATGCGAATTCAGAATCAAGAAGAGCACGGACATGTGTGCAGGGAAATGATAAGGGTGTCTGTAAGAGTATCACGATCCCACTCTTCGAAGTCGCAGAATAACAGAGATCGATACAGACGGGGCCATTGCGCAAAGCACGTCTCGATACAGCCGAGGGACAAAGCCTCTGGCGGACCATAACCTTCTAATTTCCGACACTACCGATGGGTGGTATGATCATTGCAGGACGAAGTCTGGTGTTATTAATTACCATCGCCTGGCGTTGGCCCACACGTGTAATCGGGATTGCGATTGTTTGTGCGCCGAAAATCACAAGGGTCCATCCCCCGCCGCAGACTCGGTGATCCACGAGACGGCACAGCGTCACTTTCGCGCGCGTGCGTGCCGCCAACTCGTAATCGTTGCGCTCGCCGGCCGCTTCTCCACAAAGACCCTCATCCACTACCCTTGGCTTCCACAATGGACTGACAGTGAAAACTACCTGTCAGGGCTATGCCATGAATTCGCACACGTGTTGCTGAAGTGTCCGTGCGAGATTCCGCGTGACGCCATGCAGACTTGCCGAAAGCCGGATGCCGCTTTGAGGGTACCAAACAGGCAGAAATGCCCACTTGCGTTTGGAGACTTCAAAGTTGCAGAATTGAGATGTCAAGTTCTGACCAGATATCCTACAGGCCCAGGCGCATCTCACCGTTTACTTGTGAGTAGTGCTCCGCAGAAAGCTAATGAACTGCCCACTTGGCTCTTTCGGAATCGATTCTCCGGCTTCTACAACTCGACGCCGCTGATGCATCCATCGAAAACAGTGTTGATTCCGACTGGAAGGCTCACTCGGCGAACACTTCACTTCAAACAAAGAATTGAGAACGCCAAAAGCTACGTGAGGAGAGTCAGTTTCATTCCTTGAGCGAGACATTAGTGCTAGGGAACGATGTTTCCGACTTGCTGAAACTTGCACCAGTACACGCAAGTCGAGCATTTTCCAAACGTATCTATAATGAACCGGTTTTACAACTCACTGGAGCTGCGAAGCAAAAGTGACAGTCTGATATCATTCTACAATGGGTTCTCCAATCTCATCGTGTCTCTTCTGGACCAAGTGCGAAGCTTGTAGCGTATAGGTCGTCATCGCGTTGAGTCGTAAAATTTCGTACTGACAGCGAAAATAATGCTTGTTTATTACATGGAATGACAGGAATTGGTCGACGTGTGATTGGCTGTAAAGGATCCGGCACATCGGACAACATCATGACGCCCCGATCCCTCAGAGGATCCGGTAACAATGCTGCATCCAGTATGAAGGAAGCAAGTGCGCGATATAATGGTGGTCAAGACCGGCGTTTTGCCAGAGGAGTTCCTCTTCACTCACCCCAGTTCTGGCTCGTAAATACTTACTAAGGTCTGGTATACATCTTCGTTGCCATGCATAGCTCGGCCACCATGGTATCTCCGAAGCCAGCAAGAGACCTGTTGATCACCAAGCGTCATCATTCTTTCAGTCCTGGCTTCCTAGAAACTGCGTATCCTGAGCTCTCACCTTACGCTGCTCCAAACCACCACGGAGACAAAGGAAGTCACCCTCACCCAGACACATACCGTGGGATATCTAATCCGACCGAATCGCTCTCGCTGAGTCCGGCATCTGCGCTTGATCTGGTCATAGCTACATCCGGTCTCTTCCGTGACTATGTCAGGAAAAATGTGTAGAGGCTCATGGTGTCCAACCATGAGTTTGACTGGACATCAGAGGGCTGGATATCAGGTGGCTGGGGGATCTCACCGTCGCAAAGGAGGTCTGAACGAGATGCCAATCCACTGGGTCCACCCAAGGCCATTGGTCGTCGTATCGTGATGGGTTAGCAGTCAAGTTCACGTAGTCACCATATGCCACCTCTCATCGAGCGAGGACCTCCGCGCTAGCTAGGGATGAGCTTTAGTACTAGTTCGAGAAGAGAAGGTGGCCGTCATTAGTTCCATCACAAGAGAAGAATGTATGTCTACTTACGTTCATGCTGCCCTCGTGATCAGTCCTGCATGCGCGAACATCGCGCACTGAACTTTTCCATCTGAATCTCCAACTAAATCATTCGACACGTCCTTTTGGAATTCAGGAGCTGCTTTGTAGTTGCGATTCGTTCGTCGACGTAGAAGCAATGTTTTGAAACTGTTTCTGCACAACATCTCATCTCTTACGCAAGTGTTAAACCATTGAATCCTGTGTAATATGAATCTCTACCGGGGGATTATCTCATCTGTCACAGCCAACATTTCACTTGCCGAAGGCGGATCCGTGGAAGACATGACATTCTGGCGCAGGCAAGTTGCAATCCAGGCTCAGAGCGTTGGAAGACTAGCCGAACGCTCTTGTCAGTTAGATGAACTGCTATGCAGATCAAACACGTACGTTGATATCATCATCACAGAAACTATGCCAAACTCATTGTCTACCGCGCATCTCGTAGCTTGGAGAGATGCCAGACCGTCAACCAAGACCCACCGTGACTAGCCGTTGGCCATCCTGTGTCACCAGACTCAGCGCTTTGCTAGTTGAAGTGTGTGATGGCTCTGAGATGTGCTCTCTCCTCACAAGCAGTCTATAAATATACTTCGATCCTGAAACATGGCCTAATTCGAGGCAAAGATTGCTATTTTTATCCCTCACACAGGCACGGAAACTGAGCAGATGTGTCATGTTGCTTAGAGGTGAGCATGGCGATGGTGAGAGGCTCCAAAGATACATAAGCTTGGATGTTCAAACCTTGTCTGGACCCGTCATCAGCTTTGTTGCGCAGACTTGTGAGGTTCAAATCAATCATACTCATTCATCCGGGGCGCGATGGTAAGCAATATCGAAAGGAAGGAGAGGAACCGCGCGGCCCAGGCTAAATATCGGGAGCGACAAAAAAGACTCAAAGAGCGCCTCGAGCTCGAAGTCAAAGAGTCCAAAGAAACTAAAGAGCGACTCGAACTCGAAGTCAGACAGACTAAAGAACGGTTTGATCA